AATTTATTCCCGAAACGTATATTAAATGGGAAGTCCGACAGGAATATTAAGCAAAGATCAGCAAATCTTGTCGAATACATGGGATTCAGAGGACGAAGTAGTTCTTTATAGAAGGTTAATTAGTCATCAAATCTCATCAACTTTCAGATTTTAATTTACGCAAAAATATGCCTAACCAAGTACCAGAAAGAGAAAAACCTATTCTTGAAGCTCTTATTGAGAGAAGGGATCGTTTGATCGTTTTAAAAAAAGATAGAAGCAGATCAATAAGGGCTTCCGATGTTACTGACATATTTGATGAGGTATAATTTTAGATATCTATCATATCAATACTTTTCACAGCACTGATTTTTATTTCAATTCCTTAATACATATCTCATATAATCCTAGTTTGTTAATGGCTTTCTATTTTGTTTCTAATTCTTTCTTAACCTTTCTTGTTAACCTTTCTTGTATTGACGATATTCTTTGCCTATGTTTTCAAAACCCGACGCAGGTCATTGAGCTAATTTCACACCTAAACACAGTTCGTGAAGAATATCTGACAGTTGATTCTCAAAGTCAGGTCGATGACACATTGGACGACGTATTCCAATTGCTGTCGTTATTCTTCATGGCTTTAGGAAAAACTAAAGATAGTGCAGCTTCTTATGTGCAGTTGGCTACGATTAAGGTAAACTGATGGAGGAGCAGAGAGCTGAGGGTCAAGGTTATGTGAAGTCGACGCAGGAAACCCATTTTGATGCTGATGATGAGCAAAGATCAAGTTTTCTCTTTATGTGAATAGATCTGTACAGAAAATCTTTTTAGAATTTTCTTTCATCTTGGACTTATCTCTACTTTTTAATTATATGTTATAATCCTGCTTCTTCTTCACTCTTTTACATCATTCGGTCTCCTCCCACCTTTTTTTTCCATCTTAATTCACGTTTAAGATAAATATTTGACAAGGAATACCGTTTCTAATTGAAGCAATGTTTAGATCACTTAAACGAATCTGGAGCTTATACTCTAGGTGAGTAATCCTTTGTGCGAAAGGGGTTTGTGGATGACGTTTGTCTGTCTTGTTAGTTAATTAGTGTTGCTCATTTCTGCTGCTTGCTGGTTAATTGGTGACTAAAGTTAATACTTTTGATTCAATTTTACGCGTATTTCTTTATAGCGGAACTGATGCCATATGAAAATCGTATTAAGGACTTGCACGCTATCATAAACGACAAAAACAATCCTGTACCTGAACCGTACATGAAATTATTACAGCACAAGCTATTGTCTTGCGGTAAGTAGAGCTACTTAGTTTGTGAAATGACTAAAAACGGTTAATCGACTGAACCAACTTGTATTGAATGAGAGACAAATAACAGCTGCTTATTTATCTGAATTATCTCTTTTTTAATATGCAGAAACTGTACTACAGGTCTTGATGGATTCCGTTCATACAATATCTCCTGATCTCTTACCAATTTATGAGCAGCTAGTCAAAATCAAGGAGCACCTTATCTCTATTCTTTCTTCATCCATCTCTTCTGTACCGCTTTCATCCATTACTCCGGTTCAAAAGGAATTGCACTCGATCGACTCACTCCGTGTTGATGGCAGATTTCTCTCCCCCGATGGTTCTATTCCGCCTGGTCAAGCTCATGTAGTCGGTCTTCTGGAAGAGTGCTATGAAGACATCCACGAGCTGCTCGTTGCACATGATGAAGTAGCAGAATCATTAAAACCGACACGCGACATATTGGCAAACTTAAAGGAACAGTTAGAGGGATTAATTTTGACACATCGTTGGACAATGAGAGAGCCGGATTTGTGGAGTTATCAAATGCAGCTGAATGAAATTGATGGGATGAGAGTGAATGGCCAGTTTTACGATGATCAAGGAAACGTTGCTTCAGGACAAAAGGTGGGATGAGTCGGAGAGGGATGTTAAGGCGTAGTGGTGGTGAGCTTTGCGAATCAATGATGACATTTAATAATTACAGCAGTGTTTATGAAACGCTAATTCGACATATTGACTCTAATCCGTTATGACTACACGTCTTCTTTTACCCTACATATGACTCAGGTCCTACTATATCTATTGCACAGATGTTACCGTTTAGTCTACAAAATCTTAAGTGCAAGCGAGTCGATATCAGAGTTTTTAATGCCAATCCATAACCAACTGCATACTGTGCGAAAATGTCTTCTCGAAGTGAAGAAATGGGGTGGTCCGTTCACAGGTAACCGTATGAGATTGTGAGATTGGATAAGGATGTGAATCTGCTTGGACATAGACAATGACGAGTAAATGGGAAGGCAAGCTAGTATTAAGAACGATGAGGTGTACAGAAAGCATTTCTATTTAACACTATCAGCTACACTAACCTATGATTCGATTTTTATTTAGCTCGCGAATTATATCCATTTCAAATGAAGCTAGCATCCATTGATAACCTTCGTGTTGAAGGTAAATTCCTTGATGAATACGGTACCGTTCCCCATGGTCAAGGGCTTGTGATGCTGCTGTTAAGCGAGTGCTATGATTTATTGTACGAATTGAAGGCCGACATTATTGAAGAGGAGGAAAAGTAACAAGGGAAGCAAATGGGAATTATTTATAACTACGCAAATATTAAATAGCTAGCTATAAACTATATATATTATTATATTACTGATAGAATGTGCAACTATCTGACAGTCACTGAAAATATGGTTGTATGTCTTTAGTTTTCCGCTAATATTAGTTCATTATTGCTTAGAAGATCCGTGCAATAGTATCGATATTTAATGAATGATTCGATGCTTTATCTTTTCATTGTATCCAATCCGCATATATCAAAATATACCACTTGATTAGTTTGCACACCTTTTCCCGACAGATGATGGTATTACTCTTGAGAATGTTTTGCCGAAGTAATTTTGATTATAAATGTCAATGAGCTCTGGTAGTCTCTACTCCCGATCGCAGAATTTGTTCACGATGATTTATAAGGTAAACTGGTTTGGGATACTAAGCTATGCGTTCGGCATAATTCACAGTTTTCACTGTAATATTAAATATTGGCAGAAAAATTTAAGAAAATTGGGATCAGATTATTTTCGTTTTGTAGCTTTCTAACAATACTTTCTAACCAGTTCACGGGTAAACATTCCTTATCTAATTTTACGAGATCCATATATCCTAAGTTGATATTGTCATGCTCTCTAAATTAAAAGTTGAGATGACATCGATTATATTATTATCATACCATATCTGCACCGTCTGACATTTAGATCAGGCTAACTTGAATTACATCTTTCATAATTGTAATTTTACGCGTAACATATTCATAAACGTCGCTTCATCATGGAGGGTTCTCTTCCAATAGAAAATGTTTATTAATGCGGGGTTTAATCTCTTGATTTTGCTGATATTATTGGAGACTTTGTCTGTAGCGTTAATATTAAAGGGGGAAGAAAAGAGGAATCACGACGTTAAGGTATTACTGAAACACAGGCCATACTCTAATGCTAAGTACACAAAAGCAGTATACAGATTATGCGCGTTTTTTCAAACAGTGTATAAGCAAAAGACAATACGTCTGTGATATCTTTTATAATCTTTGGTTTATTTAATAGATAATCCGTAAGCAAGCAGTAGATCGATATACAACTCGTATCGAATATTTACAGGACGCCATTCCTATTGACGACCTGTTGATGTAGGCGTATTCGACTACAGGGGAAAAAATCGAAACAGTATGACCGACCTTCCGTGATTATAGATAAGTGAAGCCTTTGACATCCGCCTATGTGGAAGCGCAAACTAATTTCGAATATGTTGCGGCATCATTGTTAGTAATGATTTTGATGGCATATCCGGCGGAAAACTCAAATTTTAAGCTAATACATATGTGCACCAAGATAATTAGGCGGTAGTTGTATATTATTTTTAGGCATTCTTCCTAAATGATTCGTGAAACGATAAACTGTAATTAAAGTTGCAGGCTGTTACTTTAGTATCCACCCGAGTTGAGTGATTATCGAACCATGGTTAGAGGGCGTTTCACAAAAAAAGGCAACGATAGCTCTATTGACGTGACCTTTTAGATGCCTGATTCGGAATCTGCTAATTCTGTCACTATATATATTCATCATGTACAAACTACACAAAATTTATATACCTATGTGGTAACGTCATGCAGTAAGTAATACATGCTAAATCCGGATTACCACGTGAAACGTACAATATGTAAACAAAAGCCACGCGCTTTACGTTTTTATCCTTACTGATGTTTTATTATGACATATTATAATACTGCATTAAACATATACTCCGTTAAGTTTCGTTGTGGCAACACAGCTAGCAAGAAACGGAGAAAAGCTCCGGGCTTTTCTCGCAACTACACAATTTTTTAACAGTGTATTTTAGCTCATGTAAATCTCCTGGACAAGGTACACAACAATAGTGCATGTATGTCGTGGTAGAACACTAAATAATATTCCCGAGTAGATGGCTCCTAAGTGATTCCAATTATCCAAATATTATCTAGCGTTAATATATCTGGGTATTCCTTAGTTAGCTATTTGAGTAAACAAATATACACCGGTCAATTTAAACGCGCGATACACACATTAATAACACTATTTCGCATTTTACACTCCTTGCCATCGAAACTTATAAACGATCTCTATGCTCAATACAAGGTAACGACTATTACGTTTAAATTTCCATTTATTACTTCGATTCTCCATCATATTCATACAGGTACAGACTCAACGGGGCACCAGCATACTGCGGCAATAACTCTGTTCGTTGTGCAGAGGATGAGACTGTGAGTGAAGATTAATATAAATCATGTGTCTCGTCTGTTATCTCAATTTAACGCGTACATCAATTGATGTAGGCAGACCATACAAGTATAACCCATATCTCCACTTATCAATACAATTGTATGGAATCCATTCCAAATAGGGGTCATTTGCTGAGTTTGTTTGTAATTGAGATTTCTTAATAAACTCATCGAGTTGCTTATTGTTGCTAGTCCATCCATCGGATAATTGTTTATGACCGCAAATGCACCACACGGGACTACATCGGAGTATTCCACATGCGGTGCAGAAGCCATACATTATGCTACAATTCCGATCTGACATACACATACAACACTATCATACGCGCGGCTTATCGGACTTGTTAACCAGTGAAAAACGTGTTTATTGTATTCTATTGGTTTTTAACAACATTTGGCGTTTCCACTGATTCATGTAAGCGCTGAATTATAAGTTATTGTTTACTGCGTGTACGTACACTAGGATGCCCGTTTATGCTTACTATTGGTTGACAATCGCAGACTCTCACACTCCTTACTGCATATGTGTATCATCTTCCACGCGAACGCGCGTCCACGCTGTTATATCGTATCGCACGGGTGCTTTTGTTGTTGATATTATCACTATCATAAGAATCAGTTTAATTAAATTTATACGCGTGACTTGTCACCAGCGAAAAATATTTTACTGCGACTCACGATTGTTTCCGTAAATAAGAACAATAGTATCAGTGTCACGGAGCGATATGATGTAATGTGTGTTACACTAGGCAATATATCTATGCTTTACTGTGATCGTTGTGGCTGACTCTCACACTCCTTACTGTATAAATCACGACAATATTTATACTTATAAGGTCACGCACGACAACAATATCAACCGTCATTTAACACGCGTCCACTCATACATATATATACCCTGTCGCTCCTTTGTTGCTACTACTCCATATTACGCACGCAACACTATTTTTTTGTCCAAACCATATATCCCTATAAAAACGATATGTCTGAAACTAATACACCAGCTTCTACCTCTACTTCCGCTACTGCAACGAAACAAAAAAAGTTCCAACGGAGGTGGTTCGAAAATATCAAACGGATGAACTTATCAATTTCTTGCGTAAGGAGGGCTTGGCGCGTAGTGAGACGGCTATAAAAATTCTAGAAAAGGAAGAGATTACAGGTAGTGCCTTTCTCAATATAACTAAAGAAGAGCTTCGCAGTTATGGAATACCAGGTGGACCCGCTTCAGACCTTGCCGACTTCGCTAAAGAACTTGGCAAGCATAAATTAAAGTCGGTCTCGTCTTACAAAACCCAGAAAGACCTGAGTGAGGTGCTGGAGGAATATGAGATCGCTGGTGGAGATATAACTCTCATTCCACAGTTCATACCACGTAAGTAAAATTAGGTTAATGGTTTTTTTTTATATTTCGAGCTCACATATCATAATATAGCCACCCACACGATCGATGAAAGTGCCCCCAAATTTAAGCTATGCATTGACGACATTCTCCGTAGAATAAAAAATATGGGTCCAGTTGTAGATACTAATGAAGCTATGCGGTGCGAGTACATTTCAACAATCTTACATACCGCTGTAAGTCTTCTCGACGGTTTGGTAATCACACCTCGGGCGAATATAATTGGCGAAGAAAACACTGGTCGTGTTGACTATGCAATCAAAAAAATTATAAGCAAATTATTGGTGAAAATAATTTGCATAACCGAGGGCAAACAAAATCAGATGACTTTGGGTATCTGCCAAAACTTACTACAATGTCGAAGTGCATGTGATGTAAGTATTACTTCGCTTATTGCAGGTTAATCATGGGCATTGCTAACTTTATTCCCCAGATATGAACAAGAAAAAGCGAAAGATCGATGAAGCGTTCGATCCCGATTATGATTACGTCTATGGTATAGTCAGTACTGGGACCGACTGGTTCTTCATTCTTCACAGCACCGAGGGCATCTATAGTACGAGCAGGGTTGAATACAGAATTTCACTAACAGAAGACGCTCTCAAAGATGATACAAAATTGCGTAAGAGTGTAAAGAGGGTTTTAGAAGTGATTGTAGGATTATTAAAGGATAGAGCAGTAAGTAGTGAGGAACCCGCAATTAAGAAGCGTCGTGTAGAAGAGATAATCAAGGAAGAATAGAGATTGATGGGGCAGTGTAAGTCTGCAGTCATTAACATAGAAACGTCATGATGTATCACGGGCAATGGCTTTGTATCTTTTGTTTTTGCATGCATTAATAAAATTTTTCTTGGCAATTTCCCGAGACCACAAACCTGGTAACTTCTATTTTTCTTGGTAAATGGCACAATTTCTATATCTACTAACTAACTTTTGAATATTTCACGATACTTCAAATTCCCAACGTCGGGAATTAGTGATAAATGCACATTCTCCCTATTCTCCACAAATGCACGCACGTAGCCCGATCTGTTAAGTCGCCAAACGTGGCATGATTACATCAGGCCTTCTAACGAATAAATTAACTGTCGTAATAACTATTTAAGAAGGATACATTCGCGTAGTTATTATCGTAACAATTTGTTAACTAATTGCTGGCTTGATAATTATAATTATATTAAAACCTCGTCTTTCAATAAACGCCATACTTTTACCATGCCTCAAAAGTAAGATTATTTGATCAGATGCTCAAAAATATGAGCTTTATCTGTATGTTTACGATAATGATGAAAGTCGAACAGAATTGTTAACTGGGTTGAAAACAATGGGGAAGTCAGAGTTAATGAATCTACAAAAGAACAAGTAAACATGGCAAACATTCTTGAAAGGCATGTAAATATGATGCGACAGACAAGCATAGATCAGTATTTTACGCAAAATATCATCATTTAATGATAGGGAAAGTTGACTGTACTGTTAACTATATATATAATGTTTACGGTATAAAACAAGCCGTTGCAAACTTTAATATTGACAAACATTATAAATCGATGTGTACCAAGCGATTGTCGCTGCTAACCAATCTACATTTTCATAATTGGTTGAAAAATTGCATTATTTGCATCACCTTTTCCCAAGTAAAATTCAAACGCTGTTAGGCAAATTAATATGTCTATTATTACATTAACCTATTTTAATCTCTTAGAAAGAATCCAGGGTGTCTTATTGGTACGATTGTCTGAACGCTAAAATTATTACCAATTATAGTGATGATTTACGCTATTAAAGATCGCTTGCCTAACGCTAAGCATGGTTCTATATAAATCGCACAACATCGTTATAACGTTAATCGCGAGATTACTATATCGAGCTCAGTCTTATTATAACTGGCTTGATTCCAGAAAAAAGAAACATATTAGAACCAATTTCATCTTATCAGATCAAACGACGCGGGTCGCCTAGTCACATGATTTAGATCCCTGAATTGTTTATGTCCCCATTATTGTTACGCGTGTTGCGTGTTGCGTGCATTATCACAATCAATATATTAACTATTATAATAATATTGCTCATCTTTTCTTTTTTACAAGCGACATGGAGTTTAGTGACTTTTATAAACACAGTTCTTATCTTACAAAGTTCTCACCTGACGGACTTTACATAGCCACGGTTTATCAGAATAGGCTTGCGGTTCGCGATTCAATTACTCTAAAAGTCCTCAACGTTAATCAGAGCGATGCAGCCATAGAGCACGTCAATTGGTCGCCAGATTCACATTTCTTCTTGGCAGCAAGTTATACAGCTGGTACAGTCTACATAGGATGTATTGGCGAGAACAGCTGGTCGGCAGTCATAGAGGAAGGAACAGCTGGACTTAAACATGCAAGGTGGACACCTGATGGGAGGGGTATCATGTGTTTTTCAGATTTCCGGGTAAATAAGTTCAGTCGAACATACAACCGTTACGGAAAACCGACACGTTGTTTTATTGACCATAAATTCGTTTATTGCTTGTTTTTTTTTGCTTATGTTTAGCTACGTTTGACAATATGGTCACTCGCTACTGGTGATGTTTGTTACATGCAAAATCCAAAATACAATGATAAAGGTGAGAGCGCCAACGAAATACTGAATTTGAGTAGACTCGAATTATTCTGATCTTTGTATAGGTTATAGTTTTCGTAAGGATGGGAGGTACTTTGCCCTCACTGAGCGACGGGAGGGGAAGGACTTTATAGGAATATATGATTGTGAAAATATGTGGAACTTAGTAAGGGTCTGTACCCAATCTCTCGTTTGAAGAACTATCTATCCGATTTATCTCGATCTGATGTGAAATTTGCATTAGCATTTTGTTGTCGACACTGTTGATCTCGATAATATCGCGTGGTCGCCCGATGGTCGTGTAATTGCCGTCTGGGATAATTGCATACAGGTGGGTGACATGTTTGCTGGTTATTTGTTGTCTGACAACTATTGTCCGCGTTATTTATTGTATTATTTTATATTTAGTACAAAGTTTTGATCTACACACCAGATGGTCGATGTCAGAAATCATATTGTGCATATGAAATGGGTTTAGGGGTGAAGACTGCCACTTGGTCACCTTCGAGTCAATTTCTGGCTGTTGGCAGCTATGATCAACGGGTCTGTAGGAACACATTTGGTCTTTTTTTTTTGCTGGCATTATAATTGCTCTCTGTTATCTAATCTGGTTCCTTCTGCAGCTACGCTTTCTCGGTAACTACACATGGGAGCCGGTGATAGAATTTTATCACGCCGGAGCTGTCAATGTCGAAGGCTTGGTAAGCATTTCTAATTTAGCATAATCATAAAGATTAGTAATATGACTGATATGGCTCCAAACCAAAGACAATACTAAGAGAGGATGTTGAAATGCCTGCGCGTGAATACGAAAAACCAGTAGTTACATGTGAGTATTAAACGTCAAGATGATTATTAACCTGCGTATGATATAACCCGGATTTCCCATGCCTGTTTATTAGACATTAAAGAAGAACAACCATATGAACTGCCTGTCAATCGCGTGGGTCCAGAGAAAGGACAACCGAGATTAGGTGTCGGCACCTGTAAATTCAATGCAAATGGGACTCTGCTGGCGTCACGCAATGGCAAGTCCGTACGTCATGATGCATCCGTTGCTAGTCGGTACCCTTCTCATTAACTTGTTGCTCTTTGTAGACAATATGCCGCAGTGTGTGTGGATATGGGATATCTGTAATATACAACCCACTGTCTTAATCGTGCAATTAAAGCCGGTCAAGCAATTCCTGTGGAATCCAATTGATCCCGATCAGCTGGCCATTTGCAGTGGATCCAATACTCTGTGTTTTTGGTCTGCTCATGAGATGGATGTTTGTCATGTCGAAGTACCCAACAGTAAGTACTCATTTCACATTTATAATATTCATTGCAAATCAACTTGACTGCGCAGATGATTTATTCTGCCATCTTTTTTACAGCAACTTTCAGTGTAAATAACATCCGATGGCGTCCAGATGGGAAATCCTTATTGATAATGGATAAAAATATGTTCTCTACAGCTAATTTCCAGTGTGAAGAGGATGAGGCAGGGGAACAAGATTTAGTTTCAAACATTCATTCTTCATCTTCATCTTCTAATATCAAATAAAGCTCGCTTAATATCGTCTCATTTTCCGTTGATGCTACGTACAATACTTCCAATATCCCTACTCCCATCATAAGGCCCAGCCTCTCTTTGCTGTTTTTAATACACTAACGGCAAGTTGAACAAACCAATATCAAAAGATCACTACAGATATTACTGAAATTACGTGGGAGATGTTCATTAAAAGCTGCCAGTATTATACCGCCCATGTTAATTATAGAATCGAGCACAATATTCACGGCGTATGCTAGAAGGGATGAGTAATAAACGGGAGTCTGTTGAGTCGTCGCGCTTTTGCAATCTCTTCTGGAGCTGTTTGAGAAAAAAGAAAGTTTGAATCAGTCCGGGGATCAAACAGCTTCCATAAAAAATGAAAGGGAAACATTAAAGATAGCCTTACTGGCTGTCTGCTTCTTCAAGTATTCATCCAAACGTATAGTAATAGAATTGATTTCCTCGGTTCTCAGTAATGGGCGCTGATTCATTCTATCGACCTCACTCTCTAATTTAGTAATATTCTCGTCTGATTTCTGCACAGTGTTCTTTACTTCTCGAATATCTTGTTTCAGAAACCCGAGTGAAATTCTGAGATCACTTAGTTCTGCTTCAATTTTAGAAACAGAACTGGCGATTGTAGAGATATTCAAACGCGGATCTGTATGCTGACGCCCAAATTTCTCTTTGAAAATTATGTAATTGTTAATCACCAGATATATATAACAGCATGTTATGGAGATTAAAAAGTAACTTACCATCTAATGCAATCTCTAATTGTATACAAGAAGCAGTTGACAGACCCATTGCTTTTATGTGATCGAACCTTAAACGTTCTAGTAATTGCCAGTCGCGTAACAATCCCTCTCGAGCAAATATAGGTACGATATCGACAAGTCCCTTACTCTTTAGCCAACGCCCGATCTCGGTTTCTGTCTCATCTGGACTAGCAACCCGCAGACGTTTGTGTTGACTGACTAATCTTGTTGGTTCTCTGTTAAAAACTGAGCGGGCACTACTGCTCGCGGACGAGACTGTATGATCACTAGCGAAAGGACGCAGAGCTTTTATTATATCAATATTTCTCTTATTCCCTTCCTTTAAGCCATGTTTCTTGCACAGTTGCTGTAGTTCTATGCGGGTCATTTTTTGAAGAGAATCAACAGTAAAGGAACTATTTGGCATAGTTATTATAGTAAAAAAATGAGACGCGTGCTTTCAGTATTGGTATTTATTACTATTAGTATGAGATCTGTCACATGCACCAAATGCATATTTGATCATGCAGATAAAGTGAACATGGGGTCACAGTACTAGTACACGATAAAAATATACAGCATATTCGTTTTCAGTACTGAAATGCTACAAAGAAATCTAATTAAGGTGAGAAGCACATACGCAAATATTCACAAAAGACAACTTGAGTATGCAGAATGTTCTGTAAATGTCACTCTGGGTTATTCGTTGGAGCGATATCCTAAAGTGAAAATTGTTATGGGACGACCACGTATTCTCAACTGTCTCTGGGGTATACTTTCAAAAACGACCCATTTCCTGGAAGAATGTCTTTTGAGAAAGCTACCAAAGGACAAAAAGTGGGATAATTTGGTTATTTGTGGAACCAGCGACTAAGAATTTATGTCCCCACCTGAAAAAATAGCGAAGAATCAGACAGGTCAATCTCGTAAAAAAAAAAAGATCTATCATTGTTAATACAATCTCGAATTTAGATTTTTGGCTTCATCACGGGCTACCAAAACCCAATAATAATAACTGGAATTTGGTAAGAACTCTCGAAGATATAATAATAAGTTACATTTACTCACTATGAAATAGTACTCGGACTGTCGAGTAGCATGAAGTGTTTTGATTCCAACTTTTTACACCAACTTCGAATACACAATTTCAAACGCTCAGCAAGTTAGAAAAAAAAATAGTGATCAGGGGAAATGTCCCCCCTGCAATTGGGGCTAGTGTAAAGAACAGATGGCATTAACAGTTTTGCCAAAGCAAAGTCAATAAGTAGATTTGATTTAATGTTTAAATAAACATTGAAGGTTGCATATGCTTTGTACAATGTCAGGACCTATTCCTCCGTGATTTTCGATGCCGCAGTATCAAATTCCAAGTGGAATAAGACGCAACATTTGTTAGCCGGATATATCCAATTTTCTTGACAGACTATCCGGATATATCCATTTTTCTTGACAATCACAAGATGTCCGCTTATATCCACATTTCTTGACAGTGCAACCTTCCCCATATATCCAGTTTTCTTGACAGCTGTAGAACGTAGATTAGTTATAAATACGAGTCGTAGATAGTAGCTAAAAATCATCGTTCCGATCATTCGAATCATATCTTCAGCAAGAC